ATCTCCTACCATTCAACAAACATTTGTGAAGCAACGTTTAGCCTTAGGTAGAAATAAAATAATCTCCTAAAAATGACATAATTTAAAACAATCACCCAATTTGCAACATTTAAAAATATTTAATATTATAACCTGCTATGTCACAATGGCCAGGGGCAAACCAACAATAAGAGTATCCAGGAAAGAAATTACTGAAGACATAGCTACTTTAGGATGGTATACACACGGTAGACTCAGTTGTTAGATTCATAAAATGCCTCATTTCTAGTACAGTGACTGGCACAGTATTGATAATCAATAAATATTTGTTCAGTGGCTAAATGAAGCCAGGGATCTTGTTTGTTTGATTCACAGTTTTACACCCAGCCCTTGGAAACGTGCCTAGTAGTAAAAATATTTAAATATTGGTGGAGTGAACAAATGAATAATTACTTTGACCTATTTATTCTCCAACTATTATGCTGTATCTACATACTTGGTGTACACTTTATACTGCTACCCAAGAAGCCATATTTTGCTTCAAGCCAATTCGGATAACTTTTGCAACAGAATGTAAGCTCTATGAGAGAATTTTATCTGAATGAGCTTTCCTTCATACTTCTAATCAACACACACTGAATGACAAAGGCATGAATGAAGTTGTACAATGAAAGGGGACCACATATATCAATGCATTCATAAGTAAAACACAAAGATATTGCAGAAGAAAACCCCAGTTCCTCAGGTGCAGTAAGAAACATTTTGTCTGGCCTTCATCTTGGGATATTTTAGCTCATAATACCCAGCCTTTGATAGGATGTTACCTCATAGAATGCCCATGCAACTGGGCCAGTACCTCTGATTAATTTTTAATATAATTTTTATGAGTTTTCTTAGTTTTAAGCACAATCCAGGTGGGGCATTTAAATTTAAAACAAAAAAAAGGTCTTTTAGGAATGGAAACTAAATTTAATCTGGAATCAATATTTATGAAGTTGTGATTAATTGACTGATGGTCCAATGATTACAAACCATCTATCTGAAACATCTACTCAAATTTATTAGCTTTAACCAAAAAAATTTTTTTAAAAAAACAATCTAAACTGGGTCAATGAGAGAATAATGCATTCCAAATCAATTTTTAATAGCACTTAAGATTTTATTTTTTTTAAACTTGCTTTTAAATTATTTATCATTAAAATGAGTCTGATTTAAACAAGGGGTAAAAGGTGTTCCAGGGCTATTTGATGGTTTTCTTTGCAAAGAAATTCAATTATGACTGACTTTTTATTAGTGAACTACTTATTAATAATAATACATCTTGCACTTGCACCAAGGCATTGGGCCAACAACCTCAGAGAGTCCTCAAGTGTGAGCTAGAAGTTAGCACTGATTCTACCGTTATCTGCTGTGTTACCATATCCAAGCCTCAGTTTCTTCATCTGTGAAAGACTAGGCCTTTATAAGGACCTCGAAGAGCCTTTCGGCTACTACAGCCTTATAATTCTAAGGAACCAGGGACCTTAATTTACCTATTCCAAGTACCATTTGTAACTGAACTCCTCAGTTCACAGGGTCCCTTGTAAGGTCACTAAGAATATATTGTGTAGGGTCAGTGAGATGGTTCAGTAGCAAAGGTGCTTGTCATCAATGCCTGATGATTCTTTGTTCAATCCCCAAAACCCACGTGGTAGAAGGAAAGATAGAAAAAGATTTCTGAAAATTGCTTTCCGACCTACACACACACACTTGAGCACATACAAATAAACATTTTTTTAAAAAAGATATATTGAACAAAAATCTATTTCAATTAAAAATAAAGAAGAAAGGTGAAAATGAACATAAGTATTCAGTGAGCCATGGAATCTTGTCCTTTTAGAGTAATGGCAGCATCTTTTAGCAATCTGTGCCAACAATATCTATTTAGAGCATGATTTGTCCAAAATAGGAGATGCTCTTTACAGAGTAGAGAGAAGAGAGTTCTTGCCCTAGATCTAGAGAGTCCTCGTCATAGTGATATAGGGGTATTATGTGGATGTGGATGTGTGCATAAATGTGTATATGTGTATGCTAAGTACAAAGCATTACCTGAACCAAGCAGGCCTGTTACAGCATTAGGGAATCTGTCTTTATTCATACAGTAATATACACATTAAAATGTTTGTGAGGATATGTCCTAGAGTGTTAAGAGTGACAGAGAGGTGTATTGAAAATGTAGATGAACTTTTACTTACTATATTGTGCATTTTAAAAAGTTTAATTTTCTTAAAATGAACCTTAATATTTTCATAGTTCTGAAAATATATATAGGGAGAGATTTCTTTTTACAAGTGCTCCAGAAGACATTATTTAAAATAAAATGGTTTGGACTTATAAAAAGGCAGTTAATAGGTAAAAGATACATTATTATTTGCAGAATAATCACTTAGTACCATACACTTGAAAAATTAAATGTTGACCTTAAACTCAAGAAACATTGTTTGAGACTGGACATGGTTTTGTGTGCCTTTAGTCTTAGTACTTAGGAGGTGGAGGCAGGGGGTCTCTACGTGTTTCAGGCTAGTCTGGTGTACAAAGTGAATATCAGGTCAGTCAAGGCTACATAGTGAGATGCTCTCTAAACCAAACAAAACAAAGGAAAAAATAACAAACAACCACCTCCCATAATTTGTTAAGGTAATAAACACAAAATCCACTATAATAGAATTAAACCAGTACAGATATAGCTATATGGAGAGAGCATTGGAAAGCTGTGTCAATAATAGAAAAAGTAGGAAGAGATGTTGGAAATAGCTAGATCTTATTATTTTAATTAAACCAGGCTTTATTTGTAAAATTTATCTTTGAAACTAGGTATTGACATGAATCATCAAAATCAGTGGTTTTCAACTTGTGGGTCTTGACCCCTTTGAGATCGAATGACCCCTTCACAGAGGTCACCTAAGACCATCAGAAAACACAGATATTTACATTACGATTCATAACAGTAGCAAAATTACAGTTATGAAGTGGCAACAAATCTTTATGGTTGGGGGACACCATAACATGAGGTATTAATGGGTTGCAGCGTTAGAAAGGTTGAGAACCACTGATCTAAATGATTTATCAGACGTGCATTTGCGGGTAAGAGGTAGAGCTCTTTTGGAATGGAAGTGTCTTCTACATATCTGTCCCTTGCTGCAGTAATCTCACTGGCAGGTCATCTCCACTCCTCTGTCCCACTCAGGGGCTGTAGAAGGAGGCCCTGAAACACCATGGGACTTCCTCATTCTAATCCTGGGCTTCAGTTGAGAATGTGAAAGATACACTCTAGGCTTGTGAATTCTGGACCTGGAATAAATATGACTTTGCTTTCAAAGAGCCACAAGGTTTAAGAAGCAGACTATTCTCCTGCTAGGCATTCTAAAGAAGTGTCCATTACACAGGGAGTCAGTATGGCTGTTTCGTCCAGTTCTCTCATTCCAAGGTGGCCATAGCCTCTAACTCTTAGGAAACAGATAGTGAACTGTTTGGGATATTCTCACTGCCACCAGTGAGCCAGTGTGAATTGGACTTGGGGTTCTCCAGGCCAGTTGCCAACTTCTCCAGTTGAGTTTTTGCCTGGTTATTTTAGAGCCATGATGATTGGCCTCCACCTTCATGTCACACAACACACACACACACACACACACACACAGAGAGAGAGAGAGAGAGAGAGAGAGAGAGAGAGAGAGAGAGAGAGAGAGAGAGAGAGAGAGAGAGAGAGAGAGGCACTAAGGGACAGATGTTTAATAAGCTGCCTGAGGCCATGACCTAGGAAGTTGTCCAAGGCAGGGATGTCTTCTCCATGAGTCTCTTTTACAAAGAGATCAGCAAAAGGCATTTAGCTTGATTCTAAATTTCCCATCTCACACACGGCGTATGTTTGCGTCATTTCTCACATTAGCTCTTTCTCATTTACACCAAGTTGCTGTAAAATCCTAAATTTTACAAGATTCACTTGGGAGCATTTAGAGTCTTTTCTTGGTCATTGTTGGAAATGCTAATTTGTAACCTCACAAATTATCTCCTGAAGTTCAACAACACAAGTGGTCCATCTCACATCCTACTTGTGCCTAAAATGAAGTCGTTACAATGCATTGTGCAAGTGTATGCCTTGCACTGTGCAGTTTCCTCACGTAGGGTGAATCAGAGCCTGGCTAGAATCCTCCCCCTGATGGGGGAAGCACAGAAGGGCTAGTGAAAGTTTGTCTTCAAGGAGAACTGAGATTGAATTTACCCAGGTACTTCTGGATAATTCTGGATGAAGAAAACCATTGCTTTTAAGTCAATTATCATGCCTTCTGGAAGCACACTGAAGGGAAGGAACTGAGAGGGAACAGTTGTTTTGAAACTATTAAATGAATAGGTAACTTTTTTTCTCGTTATGTTTTGAGGGCTCCATTTTCTCTAGACGTGTGGCTTAACTTCCCACCCCCATTCAACTCTTTGGAGAAAGACGTGGGGATTGAAACACCATAGCTCTCTCCTTCCTTGCACGAATTTACTACACTTTCCATAAATTTTCAAGAGCCTCGAACCCTCTAGTAAACCATCTTCCTCCCCATCCCCAGCAACTTTTTAGCTCCTGGCCCAGGGACCGTTATTAATAATAGTTATTATTTAATAACGAAAGGAAAAAAAAAAAAAAAGATGGGGCGACCGCGCGCCTCAGAAGCGCGTTTCCGTCCCCTCGCCCGCCGGGCTCGCCGTGGCCCTGCCAGGCCGCCGTAGCCGGCCTCGCGCGTTCCCAGCGTGGCGAGGAGCTGCTGTCGGCGGGACTTCCGTGTTGGCGGGATTCTGAACGCTGCCATGGCTCAGACCGTGCAGAACGTTACATTGTCCCTCACTCTGCCCATCACGTGCCACATTTGCTTGGGGAAGGTAATGGGTACGGCTAGGAGACGGGGCGGAGGACCCAGTGCCCGCGGGAGCCCAGCGAGGCCGGGTGCTGGGCGGGGACGGGGCGTGAGGCGCCCGCCGGGATGCGAGGGTCGGCTGACCTGGGAGCTCCTCGGCGGCGGCGGGAGGCCGGTCCTGGGGGGCGCGGGGCCGACGCGGATCGCTGGGCTCCTCTGGCGCCCTCCGGAGCGAGCCGGGGCCCGGGGCCGGGCGGCCTGCGGCGGCCTCAGCCGGCCTGCAGAGAGCGGGTTAGAGCGTCCGCGCCGCCGCAGCCTCCGTCCTCCTCTGCAGCCCGTGCGGCGAGCCGCAGCGCTTTCAAAAGCAGGCTTCCCGGGAGCCCCGCCCGAGTTCCCCAGCCTCCCCTGCACCCGGTGTGATTGTTCTGGGGGCCACGGTCCATTTTTAAAGCCCTTCCCTTTTCTTATCCTCGTCCCGAGGGTGGCTTTCGCCATGTGTTCGGATTTTGACAAGTAAATGATGGTGCCTGCCCCCACTCCCCTCTCTGTGCTGTGTAGAATGAGAAGCGTGGTCCTAACTCCGAGATTGGGATCGGTCACGAGAGGCCAGAGGTGCTCAGGGGCTTGTGAAACTACGTGGAGAAAGTAGTCTGGTATTAGAAACGGAGTTTTGAACGTTCTCATGCATTCGTGTTCCCCTTTCATTTCCGTTTGTGCCTCCGATTCGGTTCTTTTGAAAAGCGTGCCTTTACCGCGTGGTTCAAGAACGGCGAAGAACTGAAACACGCATTCTTTTCCACCCTGATTGCTTTTTGTATGTAGTGTGCCCGAGAATGTAGGCTGCAATTTACAGCCCCGGGCTTAACAGGGAAAAAAGAAGTGAGTGCCAGCCAATAAGATGGCCTGCCTTTAAGTGTTGAAGGTTCAGCTTAGATTTGCCGATTCAGTAAATAAAAGCAAGTTAGGGTTGGAAGCAACTGCCAACCCTAGACAGAGTCAGAGTAAAAGGCCAATAAAATCGCACATGTTCCGTGAGAAAGAATGGCTTGCTTGATCCCTGGCAAGCTGAAGGATGGCTTCCACAAAGGTGGTTTTCGAGCTGGCCAACTGGTAAATCTGAACTATATTTTCTTCATACCCATAGATTCCATTAGTTCCACCTTTTGCCTCTTTCAAACATACTTTTTTTTTGTTTTGTTTAACTTCTATTGTTTCTTAACCTTGCTTCAGGGAGGAAAGACTGTGTGTGTGTGTGTGTGTGTGTGTGTGTGTGTGTGTGTGTGTGTGTGTAATTTTTTAATTGAGTACAATTTGGGCTTTGTCAGGCTTTGTTGTTTCCTTATGTCTCAGTTTCCACAGTTGAAAATGTATTTAATTTTATCAACCCCATTAACTTGTTGGAAGGATTTGTGTGGTCCTCAGTGGAGTGGAGATAGATTTTTTGATCCCCAGGAACATTTGTGAATATGTAGTTTCTTTTGATTGCTCCCAGGGATAAGCCAATGGCATATGATTGCTGGATTCCAGAGCCACTGCTAGCTAAATTTCCTATGATATACAACATAAAAATGCTTCAGTTTAGGAAAATATTGATAGTGCCCCAAATGAGAAGCCCCTACCTGAACCAATATATAATTCTTGGTCAGTGAGCCCGACATAGTAGGGCTATTAGTGAAGAACTTCAAACTCGAGTCTTCCCAAATACATGTGCTGTTTTAAGAAAAGGATTTGGTCATACAAGAGGTGAAATGCCATAATAGAAAACAAGCTGAGTATGGTGGCACATGCCTTTAATTTGTAACTTGGAAGCAGAGACGGTGGATCCCTGAGTTCAGTGCCAGCCTGGTCTACAGAGCAAGGACAGCCAGGGCTGCACAGAGAAACTCTGTATCAAAAAAAAGGGGGGAAAAAAAAGGAAGGAAGGAGATGGATTGTAAAGTTAATCTTTGCACCAGAGACTTCCCCTTCACCTTCCTGTCCATTCAGTGTACAGAGCACAGTATTACACTTTACTCTCTCTTCTCTTCCTGTCCTTCACCATCGTGGAAACATTATCTTACGATGCTTCCTCCTTCAACATGCGTGCCACTGAAGAGTTAGGAATTTCATGTGCTACTTAACCTTTGCCATTATGATCCAGCCTTTTTATTTTTTAATTGCTAGAGATCTCATCTTAGAGAAAATTGATTGTGAAGACTAATGACATGGGCAAATTATGATCATTTCTATATGTAGAACTTCTAAGCCTATGCCTCTTTGGGTGTTTTGTGTAGTGGGATCTGGGTAGAGAGGAACATGGGTTGACAAGAACTGAAGGAGTACTAAATTCTCTGTATTTTACTACTTTGAGTACAGTCAAATAAAAGAATTGATTTTAAAGTAGTTTTTGTATTAGTTACTTTTTGTTGCTGTGATAAAAACACCAGGGACAAAAGTGACTAATGGAAGAAAGAGTTTATTTTCACTTATGGTACCAGAGGGTGAGTCCATAATGGTGGGGAAGGTACGGCAGTAGGCAGCTGGAGCAGAAAACAGGGAGATATGGTGAGCTGGAAGTGAGGTTAAGCTATAAATTCTCAAAGCCCTCAGCTGATGATGTATTTCCTCCAGCAAGGCCTTACTTACAGGTTCCTCCCAAGTAGTGCCATCATTCTGGGTCCAAATATTCAAATACCCAAGTTTGTGGGGGACATTTCTTATTCATACCACCACATTCCACTCCCTGCTCCCAGTAGGCTCATTGCCCTGTCATAACACAGTCACATTTACTACAACTTTTAAAGTCCTCATGGTCCTTTGCTATCTCAACAATGTTAAAAAGTCTAAAGTCTCTTCTAAGACTCATCAATCTCTTAACTGTTACCCTCCCATATGATATTTTAAAATTGCATTTTTTCAGTATATGATGGTACAGCCATAAATTCCCATCCAAGAAGGGAGGAATGAGGCATAGTGAGAAAATACTAGCCCCAAACCCAGGGCACAAAAATCTTGTAACTCTGTGTCCAGTGTCTGAGAGTTTAGTATCAAAAGGGCTTTGCTGCCTATAACATAAATCTTTCTCTTGGTGTACCACTCACTCCCTTTATGCAGTTCTCCTTGGCAGACATGGCTTGGACATCTCAGATATCTTGGAGTCTTCACCCACAATGGGCTCTCAGGGCATCTAGCCCTCTCAACTTCCCTACTATGTGTTGCCTGGCCTCAGTGGCTCAGAAACCATAGAGGAAGAATTCATGACTCCCTCACTCTTATATCCTTTGTGCCTCCAAAGGCACACACAGAGGACATCACCAAGTTTGGCTGCCATCTTTGGATGGAGCCTTTACCCTCTTGATGACATTAGCAACAACTTTTGTATGTTGAAGCAGTTGTTTTCTATGAGCAAATTACCCCTTATGCTTTCTCCCTTTATATGTTGGAAGCTTGGCCTCATAGAATCCTGCCATTAGAGCTCTTTGCCCATTGTTTTAAGGCCTCCCCTTAATGTTAGTCTCTTTAACAGTTGCAGCCTTACTTTCAACACAAGCTTTGGCTGTAACTTTTTCTCTCCAAACTGTATTATTTTTAGAATTTCTTTCTGCTCCACTTCTTCCTTTTCTTTTTTTAATGAATTTTTATTACTATTATTATTTTTTGTTACATCCTGACTACAGTTTCCCCTCCCTCCTTTCTTCCCAGTCTCCAGCCCCATCTACTCCTCTGTTCCTATTCAGAAAAGGGTAGACCTCCCATGGTTATCAACCAAACGTGGCATATCAAGTTGCAATAAAACTAGACACCTCTCCTCATATTAAAGATGGATAAGGCAACCCCAGTATGAGGGATAGGGTTCTAAAAGCTAGCAAACAAGTCAGAGACAGCCCTTTCTCCCACTGTTAGGAGTCTCACAAGAAGACAAAGCTTGTTTCTTTTCATTGTAGAATTATATGAATTATTAGTAATAACAGTACCACAGACTCAGTATTATGCTATCTTGAAATTTCCTCTGCCAGGGAAATTTCTTTTTAATTTAGGCTTGGGCAAGTTCTTAGGGCATGGGAAGAAGACAGCTATAAGTCTGCCAAAATATCACAGGAATGCTCTTAGCCCAGCTACTAACAGTGACCTTGTTCTCTGAACTCTCTTGAGCCAGCCTTCTGCAGTCCACATTACTCTAATGTCTTCCAGGCTCACATTAGGAAGGCCCTTTAATCTCTGCTTATAGCATTCTACTACTTTCCTAAAAGTCCAGAGTTCCAGTCTTATACATTTTTTCAAAAAAAAAAAAAAAAAAGTCAGGTTCTTCACAGCAGTACCCTGTGTCTCCAGGTACCAACTTCTGTATTACTTTTTGTTGCTCTGCTAAAAAAAACACTGTGATCACAAATGACCTGTGGAAGGAACAGTTTATTTGGGCTTATAGTTCCAGAGGGAGAGGCCATAATGGCAGAAGTGGTATGACAGCAGGTGGCCTGATCAGGAAGCTGAGAGATCCCATACTCATCAACAGACAGGAAGCAATTATAAACTCTCAGAACCAGCCTCCAATAATGTATTTCTTCTACTTCTTAAAAATTCCATAACCTCCCTAAACACAACGCCAGTAACCAGGGACCAGGTCTCCAATTACATGAGCCTAGGGGAGACATTTCTCTCTCAAACCACCACCACAGCATCCGAAGTACAATATTTATATTTCTCCATTTTCCTGTTGAATCTTTTCTTCCCAAATAATCCCTCCCGCTTTTGTGCCACATGTTATTATATAACCTCCCTTCCCTATTAAGACCTTTCCCCCACTTTTCAGGATTCCTTTTCTATTTTCATGACCTAGACAGACATAAAATTAAATCTAGATTATACATATGAACAAACACATTTGATATTTGAGACTTGCTTCTTTTGCTGTCCAGTTCCATCCATTTTCTTGCAAGATATGACTTCATTTTTGTGTATGTATCTTACTTATCCATTCATCTGTTGATGGACATCTAAATTGGTTCCATATCTTAACTATTGTGAACATTCCAGCAATAAATATGGATGTTCAAGTACTGTGTAGCATATTGACTTAGAATCCTTCCATATGTACTCAGAAATGGTATATCTGTATCATAAGTAGTTCTAATGTTAGTTTTTGAAGAACCTGCGCAGGGACTTCTCTAGTGTCTCCTCCAGTTTACACTTGCACCAGCAGTGTGAGAGTTATCGCTCTAGCACATTTGCTGCATTTGTTCTCTTAGTGAATGCCAATTTGATAAAAGATGGATTCTCAGAGCCATTTTAATTTTCATTTCCTTGGTGGCTTAGGATGTAGAACACTTTCAAATATATGTTGGCCATTTTTATTTAGGAACTGTCAATGTCAGTTCATTAGCCCATTCGCTGATTGGATGATTTGGATTTTGGTGTTTAGTTTTTCCAATTCTTTACGTATGCTGGATATTAATGCCTCTCTGATGTATAGCAGCCTGTCTGATGTACAGCTGGTGATGGTTGCCTTTGCTGTTCTAGAGGTTTCTTATTTCTATTTGTCAGTTCTTTGGATTATTTCCTGTGCTATAGATCTTTTCAGAAAGTCTTTCTTTGTGCCTACGTAATTTTAAATATATTTCTTACGTTTTTCTCTACCTTTTTCAAATTTTCAGGTCTTTGATTCACTTCGAATTGTTGCCGCATGCAAGGGTAGAGTGATGGGTCTAGTATGATTCGTCTACATGTAGATATCCAGTTTTCCCAGCACCAGTGTATGTTTTTGTCACCTTCACATATTGCCTATAAGTTTGTTAGATGTAGGCTTATGATCTTGAAATATGTTCGTTTTATTCCAAATTTGTTTGTGACTTTTTTGTTTGTTTTGTTTTTGTTTTTTGAGACAGGGTTTCTCTGTGTAGTTTTGGTGCCTGTCCTGGATCTCGCTCTGTAGACCAGGCTGGCCTCAAACTCACAGAGATCCTCCTAGCTCTGATTCCCATGTGCTGGGATTAAAAGCATGCGCCACCACCACCCAGCTGTTTATGACTTTTATTGTGAAGGGATAGTGAACTTTGTCAAGGATTTTTTTTTTCTGTCTGCTGATGTGATCATGTGATTTATGTCCTTAACTTGATTTCTGATATTTATTGTATATATTGATCCAGCTTTGCCTCCCTAGGCTGAAATCAACTTGGTCATGATGTATGATCTTCATGCATTCTTTAAATTTTTTTTGTTTTTG